AAAAACCTTCCACGACTCACCTTTGCCACACTGCTGGAAATACCGTATGCGAAAACCTATAAAAAAGTGCTTTTGGATTCAAAAAAACTATGTCGGCAAAAAATGCCGCCTGCTCTATGAGGAAATGACCACTGTGCAGCTCCTGAGCTCGATCGAATGGTGCATCATACAAATTTTATCTCAATACTTTGTTTTCCAAGTTAGAATGGGCACCATATATGAAAAATAAAGTATTGATAGCAGGGATGGGCGAATCCAGCCATTTTTCGAGTCGAGCCGAGTCCGAGTCATTTTGAAATACTTTCGAGTCGAGTCGAGTCGAGTCACCGGTGTTTCCGAGTCGAGCCAAATTATTTTTTCGATTATTTCGTTTTCTGTTTATTTTGATAAAAAATATTAACAACAAGTTTCATGACACATTATCCAGTTCCTAGTTTTTGATCCAGACGCTGGGATATTTTAATATCCAAAGTATCATGAACCTTATAGTTTCGAATTTTTAACAATGAAACATGTGTGTATATAAAACGAATACATTGTTTTAGCCTATATATATATTCAGTAATATACACAGTTTATCGCTCACGACCATATGCATAGATAGGCAGAAAAGCTGTTGAAAAAATTGTTCTAATGCAATATATTCTATTAGGATAAAAGTTATTAAGAAGTGATAATTTAATCTTATAAATTGTAAATTTTTTATAAGAGCAATTGAAAATCTTTTTGGATAAATGACTCGAGTCACACAGGCGAGTCAATGTTGCTCAGTCTTTGAGTCCGAATCGAGTCCAAGTTTTGACTCGGACTCGCCCATCCCTCATTGATAGGAGATTCGTATGGTGTATCATTTGACCGAACTTGCCGAGATGATTACGATTGAACTAGAGGACCAGTGGAATCATTTTGCCTTTTTCACTGGCTCATTACAACCAGTGATTTATCTAGTGTGTAGGCCGGGTGGGCGGTACCCACCCGAAATTTCGATTTGCCTACCCGAAAATTATACAGTTGATTTCGTAAAAAAAGACGATGTTCTCTCTCTCACTTTCACTCTCAAAGTTTTTAGCCAATAGCCCCTCCAAAAATCTCAAGCGCCTACCCGAAAAACGAAACCTAGATAAAACACTGATTACAACTAGTTTTTGATAACTTATATGATCAATGGACGAGCATTCATGGACGTTTATGACCAGGATTATTTAATGCAGGAGTTATAGTGCGGCAATCATAACCCTCAAACAGTCGTATAAGCTCATATTTGAACAATTATAGCAAAAGACAAAATTTCGGGATTATATCCTAGATATGAAAATATTGTACTAGTATGCAAACAAGAATGTGACACAATATGGTAACTCAAGACTTAACATGATATTGCGTGCAAGGCTCAATGACTCAAGCTCTTGATACGAGAAGTTTCATGAAAGGCGTTTATTGATTATTAATCTTTATCTATTAATAATCTGTTTGTCTTTTCTTTCATCTAGAAGCTATTTTAGGGACACGATATTTTTTAATATTTAGTTGAAGATAAAAATACTATCTAAAAGATCAGTGTTCTTGTATTAGCATCTGGTGTAAAATAACATACCTTCCTTTTCTAATTCGGAGAGTATAAGATTTTCGAGATGCAATATGTCGCATCTCAAAATTCTTTATACTCTTGTATTAGCAATTTAGCAAACTATGCCATATATTTTAGCTGGTTATGTTTATTCAACACACACACACACCGTTGAAAACGGATTAATGATCGACTATAACTCAGAAGAAACTATGTTCCATTTAAAAAAGAAAAACATAAGGCGACTAGTCATGTTTATTCTTTTAAACTTCTAAGTCATTTTCTTCAACTATTGTAGAAAGTATTCGATTCTTTTTATGTTATTATTTGATTCTTTCTTTATGTATTCTAACTACAATATGATGAGCAAATTTCTTTCTCTTTGTTGTTAGTATGAAACAAATGCGTTTTTTCCATAATAAGTTTGTATACGATCTGCATTTGTACACGTGTAACGATTTTTTCTATTTTTCAATTTTTTTTCTTAGTCCATCTGAGTTATTTCAACTGTTGTTGTGATAAAAATGGTGATGTATCTTCAGTTCTAGCGTTAATAAAATGAGATAAAGTCACGTTTAAATGGAGAGAAAACGAGTATGTTTTATATATCCAAGGACTCGAAATCCGACTAGGTTAAAAATGTTATCAACAAAGGTACACGTGAGAAAATTAAACCTGAAATCCTTCAATTAAATTGGTTCTGTCTTCTAGAAATCCAACTGTGAAATGTCATGGTTTCGAACATTTTTGTCTTGCCTTACAGACAAATATCAAACGATGGTAGGTAAATTCAGTCTCTTTTAAACGAAAAAGTAATTTTAAAAAAGTTCAACGTTTTTAAAGTTTTATTTACAGGTTAGAGAACCTCGCCATGTAGTGGACAAATCGAGTCTCTTTAGCGTTATTTTCATAGAAAAACCTATCTAATCGATCAAATAGTCAAGAATGGAATCATTAAAAGAATTTGACTAAATACAACTAATGGCTTAGACGCCTTTGAGATTACTTTCCAAAGTTTTAACAGAATTATGAGCCATATATGAATGAGTTTTCTGTGGCGAGTTATAGGTCAGCGAAATCTACTTTTTCAGCTTGAGATGTTTTTTTTCTTTAGGCCGTTCATTATTTTCAACGTTCTCAAAGAAATGTTCCCAAAGAAAAACAACGTTACCATCATCAACAAGAACAATGCCACCATCGTTCATCAACCCGTCGCACACTTCCACAGCCGCTTCCTCGAATAGATTTTACGATAAAAATTGATCTAGATGATTTATCTCTTACAATTATTGTTGATGATTCACAAACAAGTTTTAAGAGCGTTTGTCATATTTTAGAAACATGTTCAGTTACATATAATTTAAATGATATTTTACAAGAACATTGGTATTTTGGTTTAAAATCGTATACATTTCAACTGCAAGATAAACAGCCAACAAAAGCTATTTTGAAACTAAAACAATATCAACAAGATAGAAATGATACATTTTGGCTAGCATTTCAAAATAGGCCAACATTTCACGATGAAAATTTTAATGAATCAGATATTGATACAGACTCAGGTAAGAGAAAGAGAGAGACTTTAAACTAGAATATTTTAAGAGAAAGAAAAAGCCGTTGTTTTTGATGTTCTCAAATTAATAGAACTTTTTAAGAAGAAAATAAATAATATATTCCGTATTCCGAATCATCATGTTGTATCAAAACATATGTAAAGTTTGGAAGAAAGAAATCTTAATCAAAATTTTTCGTCGTCACACTAAAAAATAATGTGTCGCATGTGTCGCAAATTGCGACATAATCATTTGCGACACCGGGAGCCACTTGTGACACATTTTTTCCATTGAGGGTGCGACACATTCCGCTGAGTATTTCTACTATAAAGAAAACAGTGAAAATTAGGTATTTTTGATCTCTTATTCGATTTTTAGAATATTTTTAGTTCGTTTTGGGTGCACTACGTAATGTGGATGAGCTCAATCCGCCCGTAATATTCACAGCACAGGCCTACAAAATATTCAGTTCCCAGATCTGAGCTTAATAGCGTAGTCAAGGCCTCGGATTGGTTGGTCTGCGTCAGAAAAAAATGTTTAACATAGAAAAAAGGTTAAAAAGACTTAGACAGGGATCTGTATCCACGAATAACATCAATGCAAAATTGAAAGAACTTAAAAGCCGAAAATTTTCTTATCTTTTAAGTATTAGCGTCATCTATAGCTCATCAAAATTGAAGAGAAGCCGAGAAAAATCCTAATGAAGACTATGGAAAATGGTAAAACATAAAATTTAGCAAGTTTTTTAACAGAGTAGATCCTCAAATGGCCTCAAGAACTGTGGCTAGAAGTTCTTAGTAACGGCAACACAATTATGCGACACATTCTTTTGCGACACAATTTTCTCACAGGAACTGCGACACATTTTACTGCAACACAAAATGCGACACAATACTTTTTACTGTGATTCTGACTAAAATTTCTTTCAAAAAACTAATGCTTTTTAAAAATATTTCTGATTTATCAGACTTTGTGATAATTAAAGAATGATAATACATACAATGTAATACATACAATGAAAAAAGATTTATTCGTGTGCGCTGCACCACAAGTCCAAATGGCTGACTGTATTCAGATATTTTTGTTTGCCGTTCTCCAGTAAATTTAGACTTGAAGTTCTCAGATTTTGCGTTGTATCGAGCTATAGTAACGAGCTGTTTTTCAACTTAGATTCAATTGATTCAGAAGACAGTGACACGGATCAAACACAAATGTCCCCAAGTCAGTCTGCTCCAAAAGTATTTCATATAACTAACGGTATATACATGCAATTAAGTCTTGGATCACTCGTGAGTTTGAACACATTTCATTGTTTTGAACATATTGAAAAGCCAACATTGAATGAATGGAAATTAATATTTTATGATAATGCTATTGATTTGGATTATTCAAAAGACAATATAAAAGATGAATTTCGAAAACGAATTAAATATGAATTTATTGATCAATGTGTTTGTATTAGTACATTAAGCGATGGTTTCATTGTTTATATCAATATGAAAGCAAATTGTATCGATTATTATAGTGAGTGACAATAGAAAAATGCAGAATCTGTGTGTGTGGATATATTATTCTGTTAGAAAAGTTTTCCACTCTTGTACCTACGGTAGTCTACTTGTCTACTTCATACGTTATCTATGTTTGTATGTTTAGATCCTGATCGAACAAAAGATTGTCGAGATAATTTTGTTCGTTCAGCTGATCCTGATCCACGTCCATTATTATCAACCGTTCGTCTTCTTGTAAAAATGAATTATGAAAAACATCATACATACAATAAAGAAACCACTCATGATTTAGAACAAATTAAACTATGTTTTAAAACATTATTGAATTTTTTTTATGAACACAAAATAACTGTGTGTTTTGGATCTATTTATATATCATCTGGATTAAACTTTAATTTTCAACAGCAACCACCATTTTCATCATTTATCAAGAATTATGCATGGTAAAACTAGGATTTCGCATAAAACTTAAAAAACAAACGAATATTACACTATGACTGAGATGTTAAATCTCTCTATAATAAGATAGTTTACAAAGTTTACAACTCTAGAAAAGAATTAAATTCATTTCATTAAAATCAGAGACAGTAGATTTATGCCCGGGTTTAAACGTGTCTTAAGGCTTGAGAGATCTTAATTTTAGGCTGTTTTGTTCTCAATCTCAAAGACAAGCAAGTTAGAGATCAACTCGGACCTGAACTTTTAGATCCGAAAAATGGACCAGTTTCTGTCAGATCTTGATTTAAACCTAACTTGGATATGCACCTGAATCTGCAGTACGACGTGAACTTTTAAACTTGATGCACATAATTCCAAATGAGCCGTTTTGAAACTGATCATTATCTCGGAAGAAGAATGCTCAGAATGAGCATTGCAATAAAGAGAAGACAAACGCGCTGAATTGAATCAGCAATAAAGTCTTGACTGTAAGTATTAGCACTTAATAGTTTCTTAGCGAAATGACGCGAAAAAAATGAGGGAGGTTAGTGTACTGAAATCTAAACTAACCAAACGTCCCTTTTATGTTATGCGTAAAGCTTAGTCACTCCAGTGCATGAATTTATAAAGGCATGCGTTCAGGCAGTGTGAGTATTTCAAAATCAGTTTGCTATATAAATCTCCAAAATTTTCAATTGAAAACTGCTCAAAGCATCGAGTTCAAAAGTTTATTTTGTACCTTAGATTCAGATTCATGTCTAGGTCACATTTTCAAGTGCAAATTCAAGTTAAGTTCTGGTCCAGGTTCATTTTTCATTTTGATGTTCAATTAAGTTAGGCTCCAGTCATAGGTATCTAATGATTTCTGATAAAAACTATTAATTTTTTATGGAACAGATTTCACTTGCTATTCAATTACCGATGAATTTTAAACTGACAGAGATTATAATGTCTTTTTTTTCCAATTTTTAGGTCTGTACTATTGTCGATTGGTTATCGTTTACAACAACGTTTAAAAAAATCGTTTATTGATCGTTTGCAATTGATTCAGGATGACGACGAATTTTATCAGACAAGTATTTATTTATGGAGAAGAGCAAAAGAATATTATTTCCTAAATTTATGTGACGAACTCATTGAATATAAAAAAAGTAGGTAGAAAATTGTTCATACACTGCTAAATTGAAAAACATGACTGAGTAATGCTGTTTTCAACAAGAAAACGCAATACAATGACGTTTATAATTAAATACTTATCATATTGCTCATCAATTTATTACTCAGCCGTATAATGTGAAATGACAAATTACTATAATCTTGTTGGATAAGATTTTAAAGACACAGTATTTTTTACCTGTATGATCTTATCAGTTCTATGTTTGAAAAATCTTCTTTATAACTTTTAGATTTATTTCTCTTTTTCTGCTCTTAGGACAATATCAATCAACAACAATATGTTGTTTGAAGCAGCCACCAAAAGACTACGTTTATGTTCCAAGTATTATGCTTACTCCATCAACAATTTGTATACGTCCTTTGAAACTATGTCGAACAAATCGAATTTTACGTGAACAACAATTTGGTGGTCATTTAAATTTTGCTCTCGTCGAAATACGTGAAGAAGATAGTGGTGTTCTTTATCCAACTGATTATCGACAATTACGTTGGAAATTAAAACGATTTTTAGCCAATGGTTTTCATATAACAGAAAATCGTATTTATAAATATTTACATCATTCACAATCACAATTAAGAACAAAACAATTTTGGTTTTATTATCATAATGAACAAGAAAAATCGTTATCATTTCATGATGCATATCTGTGGATGGGAAATTTTGATAATGAACGAGTTGTAGCTAAATATACATCACGAATTGCACAATGTTTTACTAGTACAACAGCAACTATTCAAGTAAACTTGATACACGCTGTAGACAGTAGGTTTTTATGTGAATAGATTTTGTTGAACTTTTAGATAAAAGCTGAAGTGGTAAAATATATTGCCGATATTGAAACACCTGATAAAAAGTATAATTTTACTGATGGTGTTGGAACAATGTCAACAAAATTAAGAAATGATGTACGTCTTAAAAGATAATACTTTGAATATTGACTCTCTCATCTATTTATTTATCTATGCTCTACGTCAGATTCGTCGATATTTGGGTGTTCATCATGCATTTAGTGTTATGCAAATACGGTATGGTGGATGCAAGGGAACGATATCTGTTAGTCCAGAACTAGATAATAGTGAGCATCAATTAATGATACGAAACAGTATGAGAAAATTTAGTACAGAACATGATATTTTGGAATCGTGTCGAATATCAGCACCGAGTACGATTATTTTGAAGATTCTGATCCTATCTCTCTATCCTATAACCATTATCGTTACTATTTAGGAGCACTCTATCTTAATCGTCAAACAATAGTTTTATTATCACATCGTCTTATTCATGATTCAGTATTTTTACTTTTACAAAACGAGCATCATTTATGGCTCGTTGAATCGTTACTTTATCCGTCTTGTGCCTATGAATTATTGGCAACAAAAATGACTCGTAATTTATTTCCATTAAGACAGCTTATTTTACAAGCACAAATTAATTTAATTTTGGAACCATTTTTTCGACAGTTGATAACAACATTTGTTCATCATGATTTAGTCAAATTAAAAGGCAAGAGCTGAGAAAAATGACTATTTTTAAAAAATTATTCATCTCTCACAGGTTTTTTTATTATTTCAATGTTAATAAAACTTAATTTTATTTTTTAGAAAAGTCGCGTACAAAAATATCAAAATCCAAAGCTCGAAATATGATTGGAATTGTTGATGAATATGGTATATTAGAATATGGACAAGTATTTATTCAATTTACAAATATGAGAACACCAAAACCATTATACAATCAAAATGAAAATGAAGAAGAAACGAAATTATTAACAGTTTTAAAACAACGAGTGGTAATAACAAAGCATCCATGTCATCATCCCGGCGACATTCGAACATTTCAAGCAGTTGATGTACCAGAATTAAGACATTTAAGGGATACAATTGTTTTTCCGCGAAAAGGAAAACGTCCACATCCAAATGAAATTAGTGGATCAGATTTAGATGGTAAGAATAAGTTGTTGTGTCGCAAACTATAAGTCAGCCAATTTTTTGCTAAATCTCGTGGGAATGTTAGTTTTCAGAACAAAATGCAAGGATCGAGTGAAAACCTATACTAGGTGACGTAGCCCATTTTTGATTATTTTCATCAAAAATTAAATAATTCATAACTCAGTCAAAATCCATCCATCCTACTTCAGAATGTCAGAAAATACTTTATTTTATCTGCAGCATACCATAAAGCTCAATAAATGTTGAAAAAACCAACAGAAATTTGATTTTTAGAAAGATTTTCCAAAAATCTTCGAAACTAAGAGAATATTTTTTATTGATTTTACGTACAGAATGAGAATGAGTATTTACGAGTATTTCCGGTAAAATAAAGTATTTTCTGACATTCTGAAGTAGGTTGGATGGATTTTGACTGAGTTATGAATTATTTAATTTTTGATGAAAATAATCAAAAATAGGCTACGTCACCTTGGATAAGTTTTCACTCGATCCTTGCATTTTGTTCTGAAAACTAACATTCCCACGAGATTCAACACAGTCGATAACCTATGTTTTCATTCATTTCTCATAGTCCCAAACATAACGACATAGGAGTGCTAAGGCTTCAGGGAAAATGTCCACAGCTCCCGAACTATGGATTTCTAAGATGTCGCTTGGATCCAGTTTTGTAGAGGATACTTCGGACTATATATGTATGAAAAAAATTTAATTTTGACTGCAATATTTATTTTGATAGTTGCAACGCCCTTAGGAAGTTTCTAGGAAACTCCTGGAAAACTGAATAAAAATTTCAATTATAGTAAAATTTTTTATAAAAATCTTCCCAAGACCTATAAGCTCAAAATCCAGATTTTCCAGAATCCCCTTATGAAGGTTAAAATGAAAGAAAACTGACATTACCATTTGATTCGGCATGGTGCAAAACCTCTAGACCCTGACTTTTAAGTTGATATGATCAGTTTTAAATAATTGTCTTTTCGTATGGGCACAATTTTGAAGCAAAGTCGAAACGTTAAATAAATTTTCAATAAATTACGACTATCAAATTTAAAGCTGCTGTGAACTTGATCAAATTATGGTCAGTTTTGTATGTGTTGAAGTTTTTCTCTTATTGGAATTTCTCTCGTTAAAACGATCTTATTTGTAAGCCAACCAGGTGTTTTGCGCTTTGAAATCGAACTCTTTAAAAGATTCGTTGACATTGCTTATTCAACTTTCCTCACTTAGAATGCCACTTCTGCTCCAGTAGAACCATCATCTACCATTGATTTGATCATATCTAAACATTATTTTCTCATTCATAGGTGATGAATATGCCGTCTATTGGCATGAAGATTTAGTTCCAACAACAGAAAATTTTAAACCATACAATTACGATTCTCAAGATAAACCGGAAAGATTAAATCGTCCCGTCACACGTGATGATATTATTGAGAATGTGTTGAACATTAGTGAACAAGATTGCCTTGGAAAATTATGGTAAGTAATTCGTATGTATTAATTATTATAATTATTTATTTATGGATCTTAACTATCTACATTTTACATTCAATATTCACTTAAATCATTTTCTTAATACTTCTTTGAATGTTTTAGCAATTTACATTTGGCATATGTTGATAAATTTAGTGTAAGTTATCCAGTATGTATAGAAATAGCAGGTGCCATCAGCGAAGAAGTGGATGCTGGTTAGTAATTGTTAGTTTATACTACTGATCCGTTATAGTTTATTATTTTTTCTTTTTTCAAGGCAAAACTGGTAAACATCCCTATAGCGAAGAGAAAATTAAACAATTGAATAAAGAATTAGATTATAGGCGTCCAGATTACATTGATCGTGAGCAATTTCAACTTTATCCATCGGAGCACGTGCTAGGTAATAAGAGATTTTTAATTTGAAATAAAAATCATTTGTTAGTAACTTCGTAGCTCTAAAAAATGAATAGTCGTCATATCATATTCTTCATTTATCGCTGGTAACGAGTGTGTATGACTTAGATAGAAAATGTATTCAAAGATAGATCGTTTGAATTAACGAAAGACGATTTTGAAGAAAAAAAATGCTTCAAATTTTTTCTATCTCTCTTTCTAGGTAAACTCTTTCGTTCAATTGTTCGTTCCGAACCTTGTTGGACAAAAATCTATCATGCATGTTCGCATCATCATCCATTAGATGAATTAACAACACCAATTGTTCTTGATCCATTATTAATTCACAATAATTACTCATTCTATGAACGTCATGCATTAGAATTATTTTTATTGTATCGTGAACATGTCTACAGTATAATGGCCGCCTATCGCTTTACATCCGATGTTGATCTCATATGTCGTTTTGATTCACAGCGGCAACAAATGTCAAAACAATGTTTAGACATAGCTGATTCCGCACAAGTAGAGTTGAAACAGGTTTGTATATATTTAATTATAACAGAACAGAGCAATTTTCACGTTGATAATCGCATTTATTGGATATATTAGCTGATGGATCGAATTAATGGTTTATTTTATGTGGAATTTGTAAAAAATAAACATCAAGTAAGTGTAAATGATGAAAACGATGATTGTGAATGTGAACAATGTACTGATCAAAAACAAGCAAAAGCTTCAGCATGTTATGTGGTGTGTTATAAACAACAAGCACAAAATGGAAAAAAAATTCTTAGCTTTCCTTGGTTATTTGCAAAATGGCTAATACAATTAAGACAAAAAAATATCATACAACAATCAAATGGCCAATGTAAGTTAAGATTTGATGTATCCAGAGGTGGACAGATCTAAGTTCAAATTTGGGGATTTTTTATCAAGTCCATTTAAAGTTCAAGGAGTCTATTACATTTAATAACGGAATGAGTATAATCTGATACCTAATTTTATTAATCTGTTTTTTGTCAAACATGCATCAATGTATGAATAAAATTTATTTACCCGTCATATATAATTATGACGTACTGTATAGTGCAGAAACTGCTGTGAAGAACTTCGACTTGAACTTGGACTTGGAAATGGTTGAACTTGCCCACCTCTGGATGTATCTACAATGAGCTCTTTTTTTTTATTGATTTATCAGTTGCTTGTAAATACTATTTTCTTTTTTGAAAATTTGATAGCTCAACATCTCAAACATTATACGACTGTTGGCAAAGCAATGAAAAATGCTTTACAAATATTATATGTTCAAAAAGAATTAAAATTTCATCTAGAATTTGATCAGAATAGTTCTACAACACCACCACTAACAATAACAGCGTTAGTTCATTTAGAAGATATTTCATTATCAACAATTTACGATCAAATACGTTTAAATTTACTGGAAATATGTTTTATTGAAATTTTCCATAATTGGTTACATAGACAACAAATATTTATAAAAACTAAACGATCATTACCTACGGATAAAAAACCATTGATACCACAAGATATTTGGGAGCATGTATTAACAAAATTTGTCTGCGAACAACATGAAGGTGGATGTTATTTTCAATGTTTACCATCAACAATTCGTGTACAAAAAAAGGTAAAATTCATTGCTACTACAGGATAGTTTTCATGTATGCATCAGTTTTAAAGCTTGAAATAAACTTCGTTAAAAGTTTGAAACATGTCTTTTATTTATATTTTCTAGTTGGAATCATGTATAGAAGACGATAATAGTAATATATATTATTCAAATGTTAAAAAACTACTCGATTTAGAATGGTGCGATTCTATTGAATATTATCAATTAACAGTGATGTTCAAACGTTTATTAGTTATTAGTACTCAATGTTCAAAATCACATTCTTCTAGTGAAGATAAAACTGATTTTGCTTATTTAAACGAATATCTTATAGCGGCATTACAAATAATTGCATGTGAAAATAATTTGGAAAATTTAATCACGGCTGAACATTAACAAGTATAAAGAGAGAGAGAAATTGTAAAAGAGAGAACAGTTTTCTATTTTGTACGATTTTTTCTTTTTTATTTGTTCTAATGATAGACTAACAATTATTAGTGCATGTTTTTCTTTCCCGTCTTATTGCATACACATGTACATATAGATGGAAAACCAGTATTTGTTAAATTCTTTTTATGCTTTCGTTTATTTATATTGTTGTTCTTATAGTGATAAAAAGAAATTAAAACATTTGTTTACATTGTTGCGCATTTTTATAAATAAAAAAAGAATGTATGACTGATAACTGAATAAATCAAGATGTATAATTGTCGTGCTAGTCTAGCTTTTAACAAAAGCCTATATTTTACTACTTAAGCATCAAGAGATGTTGAAGGGGGATACTTTTTAAAAATGTATATTGCAAATAGTATGAAATAAATTTTTTAAAAAATTTCGTTTTTTACTCATCACTTGTAGAGGAAGGGATCTAAGCATCTTAAGGAGGGGTCCCCCTCGCGAATTCGATTTTTTCTTCGAAATCTTCGAAACTGAAGTCAGCATATGGCAGTGGCGGATCCAGAATTGTTTTTTAGTACGTGCGATATACGTGCGGTCGTCATAGAAACAAATTATTCTAAGGGAGATCTCTGAGAAAAAACAGTTTTTGGTTAAAAGGTACGAGCGGCCGCTCGTACCCCTCGCGGGCTGAATCCGCCACTAGCATATGGTTGATTATCCCAAGCAATCATCTTTCAGAATCCATTTCAATTTGACAAAAACTCAATGTTTTTGGAGAATTTTGAAAAAGACTTCTGAAAGCCCTAAAAAATACCTTTTTCTAAATTTGAAATTTCAGTTTTTAAGGTTATCCGTTTTAACAAACATGGGGCTATGTTGTGCAGAGTGTTCTAATCAAAATAAGATGATCCACAGGTTTGTATGACTTCGTTTTACAGAGTTATGTAGGTTTGCTAAAGGCGCTGAATTATAAATAATGAAGTGATCCATTGCTTAGAATATGATTTTGGCGCAGCAAAATTACTCCTCCTCCTAGACGATTCATCGTAAAACCTTCATTTTGAAGCTAAGACATTTATCTAAATTTTGTCCATAGCGATTTTTGAATTTCGTTTTCTGAGCAGAGAAAAGTGGGAAATACTCCTCAGAGTTTCAGAGCTCTAAAATATGTGTAGGGAATGAGCGGAAGCGAAATTCAAAATCTCTATGGACAAAACTTTAGATTTAGGTGTTTAACTTCATTTGAGACCACCCGCAGCTTTCTGCTGCTTCCAACAAAAAAGACATGGCGTTTTTTGCTAAGTGCTCCATTTTGCTCGTTGTCACGCAATAACTCAGCAACGCTTCGATCTCGAATTTTTAGCATAAGGTAGTTGGACAGTAAGCATTAGTCACTGTAAGCGCCATCCAAATCGCATGTAAGATAAAAAACGTTTTTACCTGAGGGGGGTCTTTAAGAGGGGAACCCGAAAGATGCGCACGACGAAAGTTGCGCACGGAAAGATGCGCACGGAAACTTGCGCACCACGAAACTTACGCACGGAAAGATGCGCACGAGAAACTTGCGCACGGCGAATCTTGCGCACGGGTAGGTTGCGCACGCAATAACAAATTCTTATTTTATATTTATATTTATTACAAAATCCTAAGACTTTAATTGCCATTATCGTTTATATATGCGATCGTTTATAGCATGTGATCGTATTCAAAAGATCATATATATGTCATCAATATATGTAATTAAAATTTCGATTTCCCCTATAGGGCAATTTTAAATTTCCCTAAGGGGTGTTAACACCTTTAGATTATGAAAGTCACAAAATTGGGACGCATGAAAAAACGACTTTAGATTTGTAATAACAATTTATA